CCCCCCCCCCCCCCCTTGCCGAAAAATCTAAAACCCCAACCTATTTTATTTTTTTTAGCTCTCCAGCTCACCCCTGCCTTCATGTGCTGTGGTTGCCAACCCCTGCTATATGCTTCAACATGGATGCTCTCAGACTAGCGTTATGGACCACACTTCACAGAGGGGCCTCGACAAGGCAGCGTGGCTTCTACACATATTTGCAAACCATGTGCAACTATAGTCGGTTTGTTAAACAGCGTAAATTTGCTTTTTTTTCTGTTTGTTTTTTTTTTTTGCTGGCTAGCTAAATTGGTTGGAGTGGTAGCAATTTATGTTGAGAATGACATGAACCCTGCTCATAAACCCTCCTGAGATATGCAAGTCACATATCAGGGGAGGCTTCAGCAGCTAGAAGAGGGCGGACCTGATTATTGTGGGCTGGCTGCAAGAACCAGGAGCAGACAACTGGCTCTAGATGACATCATAAAGCAATATGGCAACATGGGAGCCAGTGTGCAGCAGCAGAGCACAGCAGGACAACGCTGGGTCAGCTGGGAATAAAAGTACAAGTACACTTCTTGTAAACTTCTACTGTATGCAACTGTCCACCCCCTAGTGAAGTCTGCTGTGTTAAATACTTATCTATCTTGCTCCCCCATTACAGTGGTCTTCAGTGTGAGGCACAGCCTTTCTAGTGAAACGGTCCCCACTAGCTCATCTTCAAAGTGAGCATGCATGGCACAGCCCCAACCATCCCTATGGGTGAGCAGTTTTCTGCTGGATGGTAGGGGTATGGCTAGAATGTGGCTCATTGGTGCTCAAAATGAGCCTACATTGATATTTTGGTTAGAAAAGCTGTGCAGCACCTCGACAAGTCACTTTTTTTGCTCTGGACTTTCATAGAGAGACCTAGGGTTATATGTCAATGGAAGCACATTGTATACAGTACAGCATTCTAAAACAAGAACACTGTTTGCAAACTACTGAAGGCAACATCTGGAAAGAACAGCATTTCACCTTTCTGTGATTCATAGCTATAAGTTAGAAGACAGGATCTTGGAGCCAGATTTCAATATATCATATATAATTATAGGTCCTTCTAACATACTGCAATCATAAAGGCAAAGCAAGTAAAATTACCGGAAAGGAGTCCTTACTATGACCTGAACTTGGGAGGAGGAAAACAAATACTCCAGAGAGCTCTAGGCCTGAGGGCAATGTGTAAATGTACAACACCTGGCTCAGAAATGCCAAGACTGCCAATAACCTCCCTAATCACCCTGAAGCATAAATAACACGTACCCAAGAGGAAAATATTCTACAAAACCTCTAAAGCAGTTGAAAGACGCCAATACTGGCTTATTAGAGTTTTTACTGTACAGAAAAGATAATGTACAACTAAAGCTGGCCATAAATAGCTTGAATTTCGTCTGAGTCATGGTGAGCTGTAAGAGACCACATCTTCAGCGAATCAACGGGCCACCTGTAGTCCGATAGCTGCTTTCCTGCAAAAAAATCTAACCTCACACAGTCTTACCCGCTCCTAAGAGAACTTTCAATATTTGATGCACACATGGAAATCCTAATTTCAAATGTATTCATTCAGTCAGTAAGGTAGTGTAAACTACAAAGTGAAGAACCAACCAGATTTCTGTTTCTGTTAACCATGTATGTACTGCACTACAGTCAGTGTAGAAGCTTTACCTTATATATTTGTGGTACTTCCCTCGGCATCCTCATGTCCTATACACAGTGTATAGAATGTAATTACTCACAGGACCTTAGACTGCTGCAGCGGAGGGGAAGCGAGGTGGAAACAACCGCTCTAAATTAAATCAATTTTATTTAATCTCTAAATTAAATCAATGTTATTTAAATCACAATAAAATGCAATATATCTTTTTATGTAAACTAATTCTGCAGCGTGTTCTATGAATGGATTACACACCAGCCAAGCAAAGCTTTCTAACCTGTCACCGTCAGACCTCTGCTGGCCATCAAGTCCTAGGGGATAAAATGAAGAAGAAAAAAAAGGATCAACTTACCCAGCTGGATATGCAACAAGGCCGGTCTTTGGGTCACAGGAGAGACTTCTTCCAGCTGACACCGTGATACCCAGGACCTTCTCCAATGTCACCTGTCACAGACAAATCAAAAGTTACAAGCTTAGCACACACCGACAGCTGTACTACTTGTGGGACAGAAGCCTGTAGACACACAAATAAATCACTGTTATACTGTCCAACTACTATATTAAAGCTGAACTTAGGCATTTCTAAAAATGTCACTTTGTAGTGTCCCATCCCCCCCCCCCTAGGGTTAAATGCTCATTTTGTCTAGGAAGTAAGGATTAAGATAAAATACTTGCCTTATTCCTCACTCCTGCAGGCTTCCTCCTCTGTAGGACTGGTCCCCTGATGCTGCTTCTTTCATCCACCTGAGCGGGTGCAGCTTTTCATCTACAATGCAGGACCAGGGATCCTGCACTGTACATAGACTGAGGACCCAACCGCATCCAGGGAACATCCGAAAGGTGCAGCGGGAGCAAGGAATGATTATTATTCCAATCCCCCTAGATAAAAATGAGCATTTAACCCATGTAGAGTGTGTGTGTGCGTGTGTGTGTGTGTGTGTGTGTGCGTGTGCGTGTGTGTTGGAAGAAGATGGGGGTACTACAAGGTGAAACTTTAGATATAGCTTGAATGGAGCTTAAATATAGATATCTATTTTATTATGATTATTATTGTCCAAGCCAAAGAAATAAATGCAGCATTTTGTACAAATAAGATACTTATACTTCATTTCTAATCAAGGATCAAAATGTGTTAATTTAAAGAAAGACAAAGCAAAACAAAAAACAGAAAAAAGTTAAAAAAACTAATTGATGTGAATTAGTTCATATGATGCAAAAAACAAATAATCACAAAACCACACACCGCTAGAAACACCACTTTCTGCAAATAAAAATATATTGAGCAAAGCTTTATTTAGAGACTAGTTCGAACCCTTTTTATGGGCCCAAACTAGGAGATTTTTTATTTTTATTTACTTCCTGTTTGAGACAGCGAGTGGAAATCCCCTTTTAGACCATAAACAAGAGGTGAGGGGAATTTTTGCCAGAGGGGACACCTGTTCTGGTGACAACTGTAAACCTTTGAATTTCTGTCCCGGTGACAATGTCCACCAGGTCAAAAAGAGGGTGAATCTTTCCAGGAGGACATGGACAGTGGCAATAGCCTAATATGTAGAAAACAGTAAGCAGCTTCAGTTGTGCTCGAACCCGGATTTCTGTCTGGGTTTGGCAACTAAACCTGAGCCGCCTATGTCCGAACAACCAATGACATTGTGCAACACACACTCACATGGCTAAAATGCATTTGGACTCAAGCAAATGGTCTGTACTGAGTGGCTGTAGTGGGTAGAACGTGTATGGTTTGACCATACAGGTGAGTGCAGCAGTCAGCCAATAGGCACCCAGTTATATAGTCACATGACTACAGGGGACACTAAGAGCTCTGCACGCCATGACAGTTGAAGCAGTTAAGATCTGGCTTTGAAGGGGACGAGACACCAACGAAACAGCTTTGGCAAAGAGGTAAAGGGCAGATCTAGATAGATAGGGATGGCAGGGTCCACACATTGCATTCTCATTTTTATTTAACATAAAACATGTACATTTATTTTCCGATAGGTCTTCCTGCAGTTTAATTGGAAGAAAAATAAGCTTGTGGCAATAACGATTTATTGAACAGTATCCACATTTTCATTATTACTGTAATGTATATCAAACCCAAATAACCAATATAAGTCTGTGGTGACTAAAAGACATAATACTCTTCATTGCCCCTCTCTGATAATGTCACTTTGTTACCGAGAACCAACACTGCCAGACTTCTTGGCTAAGCAAGCACTGCCATTTCTCTGTCCAAGGAGAATGTCTCTGGGGTCTTTCACAGGCACGCCAAAGAGCACCAGTCAAAATTAGGCTTATGAATGATTGTGAACATTATTAAAAATTGTTATAATTATGCATTTTAGTCTATATAGTACCAAAACACAGAGACCTGCAGTGTTTTACATCCCTCTATTACAGGGCTCGGTTATTCGATAGACTGCAGGCTCAATTCACTAAGCTGTACAACGGTCCTTATTTCCAGCGACACGATCGCTCCTGCTGCTGGCAGTTATTACTGGCTGTTATTACTGGACATAAACAGCCGTTAAAGCAAACAGTCGCTGTGGCCTAGTGATTTTAACTTTAGAGACTAGCTCAAACCCTTTTTATGGGCCCAAATTAGGAGATTTTTTAATTTTATTTACTTCCTGTTTGAGACAGCAGGTTGAAATCCACTTTTAGACCACAAACAAGAGGTGAGGGGAATTTTTGCCAGAGGGGACATCTGTTCTGGTGACAACTGTAAACCTTTGAATTTTTGATCACTTTCTGTCCTGGAGACAATGTCCACCAGGTAAAAAAGAGGGTGAATCTTTCCAGGAGGACACGGACAGTGGCAATAGCCTAATATGTAGAAAACAGAAATTATACAGAATAAGTAAAATTAAACTAAGTGACCAAAAAAAAAAAAAAAATCACAAAACCAAAAACACAGCTAGAAACACCACTTTCTGCAAATAAAAATACATTCAGCAAAGCTTTAGAGACTAGCTCAAACCCTTTTTCTGGGCCCAAACTATGATATTTTTTTTCTCTCTAAATTTACTTCCTGTTTGAGACAGCGAGTGGAAATCCCCTTTTAGACCATAAACAAGAGGTGAGGGGAATTTTTGCCAGAGGGGACACCTGTTCTGGTGACAACTGTAAACCTTTGAATTTCTGTCCCGGTGACAATGTCCACCAGGTCAAAAAGAGGGTGAATCTTTCCAGGAGGACATGGACAGTGGCAATAGCCTAATATGTAGAAAACAGTAAGTAGCTTCAGTGGTGCCCGAACCCGAATTTCTGTCTGGATTTGGCAACTAAACCTGAGCCGCCTATGTCCGAACAACCAATGACATTGTGCAACACACACTCACATGGCTAAAATGCATTTGGACTCAAGCAAATGGTCTGTACTGAGTGGCTGTAGTGGGTAGAACGTGTATGGTTTGACCATACAGGTGAGTGCAGCAGTCAGCCAATAGGCACCCAGTTATATAGTCACATGACTACAGGGGACACCAAGAGCTCTGCACGCCATGACAGTTGAAGCAGTTAAGATCTGGCTTTGAAGGAGACGAGACACACCAACGAAACAGCTTTGGCAAAGAGGTAAAGGGCAGACCTAGATAGATAGGGATGGCAGGGTCCACACATTTCATTCTCATTTAACATAAAACATGTACATTTATTTTCCGATAGGTCTTCCTGCAGTTTATTTGGAAGAAAAATAAGCTTGTGGCAATAACGATTTATTGAACAGTATCCACATTTTCATTATTACTGTAATGTATATCAAACCCAAATAACCAATATAAGTCTGTGGTGACTAAAAGACATAATACTCTTCATTGCCCCTCTCTGATAATGTCACTTTGTTACCGAGAACCAACACTGCCAGACTTCTTGGCTAAGCAAGCACTGCCATTTCTCTGTCCAAGGAGAATGTCTCTGGGGTCTTTCACAGGCACGCCAAAGAGCACCAGTCATAATTAGGCTTATGAATGATTGTGAACATTATTAAATTGTTATAATTATGCATTTTAGTCTATATAATACCAAAACACAGAGACCTGCAGTGTTTTACATTCGTCTATTACAGGGCTCGGTTATTCGATAGACTGCAGGCTCAATTCACTAAGCTGTACAACGGTCCTTATTTCCAGCGACACGATCGCTCCTGCTGCTGGCAGTTATTACTGGCTGTTATTACTGGACATAAACAGCCGTTAAAGCAAACAGTCGCTGTGGCCTAGTGATTTTTGCAGATTAGTAACCATCAGATTTCATTTGACCTCTCGCCTCCAAGGGCCTAGGGACACCATTATACAGAATAAGTAAAATTAAACCAAGCGACAAAAAATAAGATCACAGAACCAAAAACACAGCTAGAAACACCACTTTCTGCAAATAAAAATATATTGAGCAAAGCTTTATTTAGAGACTAGTTCGAACCCTTTTTATGGGCCCAAAACTAGGATATTTTTTAAAAAATTTACTTCCTGTTTGAGACAGCGAGTGGAAATCCCCTTTTAGATCACAAACATGAGGTGAGGGGAATTTTTGCCAGAGGGGACATCTGTTCTGGTGACAACTGTAAACCTTTGAATTTCTGATCACTTTCTGTCCCGGTGACCATGTCCACCAGGTCAAAAAGAGGGTGAATCTTTCCAGGAGGACATGGACAGTGGCAATAGCCTAATATGTAGAAAACAGACATTATACAGAATAAGTAAAATTAAAAACTAAGTGACAAAAAAAAATAAAAAAACAAAACAAAAATCACAAAAACCACACACAGCTAGAAACACCACTTTCTGTAAATCAAAATATATTGAGCAAAGCTTTATTTAGGGACTATTTTGAACCCTTTTTATGGGCCCAAACTAGGAGATTTTTTATTTTTATTTACTTCCTGTTTGAGACAGCGAGTGGAAATCCCCTTTTAGACCATAAACAAGAGGTGAGGGGAATTTTTGCCAGAGGGGACACCTGTTCTGGTGACAACTGTAAACCTTTGAATTTCTGTCCCGGTGACAATGTCCACCAGGTCAAAAAGAGGGTGAATCTTTCCAGGAGGACATGGACAGTGGCAATAGCCTAATATGTACTATCGCACAACTCACCTAGCGTGCATTGGTATTTATGCAAATGGAATTCCAATGCACTTCTCTGCTGCTGTGCATGATGCCATAATACAGTGCATTACAGTGGAAAAAAGTGGTGTATGGTACCGCGGTGCATAGCACGGTGGCTGGGAGAGATGTTAGGGTGCCATTCAAATGGATCTAAGGGGATCAGTTTAAAGACTAACAAAGGGATTTGCAAGTACCACAAGGTGCTTTACTTCATATACCATGGACATTTTTGTGGACAACTCATTATTTTAAAAGGGGTATGCATTATAGGTCTACAATCCAACATCATTTTAGGCAACTAATTGGTTAGGGTACAAACACACATACACGTGATGCACACAA